GACCACTGTACTCTGCCAAGACAGGGTAAGATGGTCTCTCAAAATTTCTGCTTATGAAAATGGTCTGTCAGATACTCTAGGCCTGTAGCCAATTTAAATGCACCAACAATGCTGAAAAACATTAGGTGACTGTCCAGGCTGCCAGCTGAAACAAAGCAGGAAAAAACCTCTCACCATTAACTTCCATGCCTGCTGTGAAAGGGCTTAGATAGCTCTGCACTCCCAGAGTTAATGACTGAAACACCATCTCCCCTGTGCAGGGTCCACCCCCTGTGTGCAGCACTCTTGGGCAGCTATCCCTCAGCTCTGGCATGCCTAACATCTTAGAGTCTCCAGCACACATCCAAGCTCCACTTTCATGGCCGCAGGAAATGGCTTCTCAGGGCCTTCAATGCAGGGCCTCCTCATCCACACACCAGGGCTCAGCAGCTACCTTTAAGCCTGGATGAAGGTTTCCGAAGTCCTTTGTTTGTTTGGGTGCCCTTCCTGACGCTAAAGCCAGAACCAGGCTGCCAGTGCTGTCAAGTTCTACTGTGCCCCTTGGACGGAACCCGACCCCTTCCTTCAATTACTTTGTAGAAGCTTTGATTTGTTGTTGCTTTCTGGGGACAGATAATTCCTTAGGCCTTTTCATTTTACAAGTTGCAGAATTAACTGGATGGGGACCGAGCCTGAGGGCAACACTCTCTTTATTCCATTTCTGCTCATCTCTTTCAGCACAAGCCTTAGTTCTAACGTTAAATGTCCCAGTTCTCTTTCTCTCCTCAAACTATACATTTTGTATCTCTCTGCCCGACTTGTTCTTTTTTCCTGTAGACCAGCATAAGAGTGATCACTAATAACCACATGCCACCGTCAATACTAGGATATCTTGGAATCGCCTCTACCAAAGAAATGAGTCCAAAGCTCTTCAGTTTAGCTTCAGGCAGATTCTTGGGACAAAGGCAGATAGCTGCCACATTCCTTGCCAAACTATCACAAGAATGGTCTTTAGCCCAGTTTGCAAATATTGTTTCCCTCTGAAACCCCTTGAGCTGGGGCTCCATGGTCCACATTGCTTTTGGCAATATTGTCTTCCAAGATCCTAATAGATGTTAAATTAAGCCCTAATTACCAAAGTCTTCTCCTTGCTCTGAAACCTATTGGACCCACTGAGGTTTCCTAGTGGCTTTATGCAACAAGATTGCATAAGAGAATATTGGACTACGGGCCTAAGTATCAGGTGCTTGGAAGGGTCTACACTTGGCTGTATCTAGCAAAGGGGAGGTCTTTTGCCCCTCCCCTAGGCATTGTTATAAAAAGCCCTTTTGAATAAAGTTCTAGGCTGGTGGGTTTTGACCCAGGCCCTCACGAGTCTATCCTGTGTTTTCTGTCTTTCCTTTCGTCGTCTAGGTATCTCTTTCATCTAATATTTCTTACTTCTCCCTACTCAAGAGTACCTGGGTCGTAAAAGTGGGGGCTGGTCCGTCACAGAAACCAAGCATGATCAAGCCTGTCACAGCAAGACCAGCACTCTCTGATACTACATCTGCTTTAGTTACTGGGAAGAGACACCATGGCAAAGGCAACTTACAGAAGAAAGAGTTTAATGGGCTTACAGTCCCAGAGGATAAGTCCATGACCATCATGGTGGGTAGCATAGCAACAGGTAGGTGGTCATGATGCTGGAGCAGTAGCTAAGAGCTGACATCTGATCCATTGACATGAGGCGTGAGGCAGAGAGAGAAGTATGGTTTAAAAAAGGACACACCCACAAAAAGATCTCTAATGCCATTTGTTCTATTCTGTAACAGGAAAACCCTTTAAAAAGGCACTTCAACTGATGTCCGCACATTTTCCTAGTTCCTGTTTTAGGACTGCTGCCCCAGGACCCAGGCACATGGACCCAGCCCACGCGTCTGACTGGTCTACACCAGTGAAAGGAAAACATGATTCAATGGTAAAGACTAAAGTTACAGCCACGCCGCTCAGTGCTATTTGCCATGGTTGCTCTTACAGGTCGAGCCTGAGCCCATTTCTCTGGGAGGTGGGGCTGATGTCCTGGGGGACCAGAGGGGGGCGGTGTGCACTTCACAATGGACATTCTGTCATGGAATGAGGCTGGCCTGTGACATAACTGCCACAGACCTAGCCAAGCTCAGTCACTAAGTGCCATTAGTAAAGGAAGGGCTTTGCAGAGTTCTGAGAAGATGAGAAGGAAGCACCCGAGAATTTTGGGAAGTCTACGCAATCCTCTCCCCCATGAGGCTTACCACCAGCCCTCTAGTTATCCAACCAGCATTCACCTCATCCCTTCTCAGCCACCCACTCCTCGGCCTGTTTTTCAGTCCAATCCTCTGTCTGTTTTCTACCCTACCTCTTTCCCTGCCCTGAAGAACACTTCCTACTTCCCCACCTTAATCATGGCTATGCCCAGCTCCTCCTGTGTAGACAAACTTTTCTCTAAGCGCTCTGCTCTCTTTGAACCCTCTTCCTGTTTGTCTACCCTCATGACCACCTCTCCGAAAAGAACATCACCGGATAGTTGCCTAGTCTCTCTTTCCTATCAAGAAGCTGGCTCCCCACAGCCAGACTGGGTAAGTCTACAACCTCAGATAAGGAATCCTTGCAGATGGTTCACTTCAGAGATGCCAAGATTGTTTTCCTAGCAGCCCATCGTGTGAGCACAGGGAAAGCAATGTAGTCAGCTGATGGTCTGGATCTCATCTCCTGATTTTTGTATTGGCCTCTCCTCTCACTGAATCCGGTCGTAACTGAGAAACAGCCCAGAGGGTTTAGAGAAATCAGAATCCCAAGAAAGGTTTTCCATAGTCATCAGAAAGCCTTCTTTGGAGAGATCCACACATGATTTCTGAATGTCTCTCCGCAAATCCTTCAGGAATTGAAGAATTCTTCAGCTACAGAGCCTGGAATGGGAGGAAACAGATGGGACCCCGCAGCCTTGGTGAGCATGGCTTAGTGAGCACGAGGAAGCCCAGCAGAGTTGCAGGGGACAGCCAAGAGGAGCAGGAGCCAGCCTGGCCTGAGTCTGACGGAGTTCTGGGTTCAGCTGAGGATTAGGCTCCATTGGGAGGATAATCTTCAGCCATTTCATGACTCAGTTTCCTTGTCATGAAATGGAAATGCTGTGGAGCAAGTTCTTTTCCTAGTGGTTAATGATGTAGTGACAAATGCTATCAATTGTGTGAGGACACCAGTAAAAGCTTAAAATACTTCCCAAGAGAGAAAAGGAAAAGCCAGGCAACGAAGGAGCAAGGTATTCAATTAGAGCACTTCAAACACACACAGGCACACATGTTGCAGAGAAAAGCGTTACTGTCCAATGAGTTAATTATGCAACTCTCCAGTCGAATGAACATATTGTAGTGGTAAAGTATTGTGTTGTCTCAAGAGGAGGACTGTGCTCTGAGAGTATGAATATCTGGATGGTAAATCCAGGGCAGTCAGCAAGAAGTTTACAAAGGAGGTATAACGGACGGGGGAGAAGAAAATGCTCCCCATAAAACACTCGTGCAAATCTGGGGAACAGCCTGTGCCGAGAGGAGAGCAACACAGTACAGGGACGACCGACAGCAGACAGTTCCAGAGGCAGCAGATAACGATGCAAAAACTGTATGGCATATTACGTCCACAGTTAAATGACTGAAATGGTATCCCTGAACAAGACAAGACCCACCAACTTCTTGTCTATGAGAAAACTGGTTTGAATAAGGACACATTTGTGTTAAAAAATCAAAGGCTGGTGTGGCTTCTGAGCAGACCCCCCTCCTGTCATGGTCTGCTGATTCCTCCTGCTTGATAAACCGGAAGAATCATCTCTTCTCCAATTGCCTGAGTCTCCCCAGTGCTGTAAATGATATGCGAGGCCTCTGGAAAATGCACTCATGCGGCACTGACTCTTTTCCTAGTTCCTGATTTAGGGACGCTCCCCCAGGTCCCAACAAGTTTCCTCTGTCCCCTGCTTTACCATCTGAAGGGAGATGCCCCTGTTATCCCAAGCACACACGAAAGTTACTAAAGCTCCGTTTCTTTTATTTGCCACTTGCCCTGATCACTCTTAGACTAGACAGGGGAGCCTCTTGCCTGGTTGGTCAGGTGGATGCACAGGACGAAGAGGGAGGCAATGGTGGTGCTTCACAGTGTCTGTCAGGAACCACGGGACATGAGGTGACCTGGAAGGTGACTGCCACAGCAGGTCTGGCCCAGACAAGGTCCCTCTCTGCTTTTACTGGAGAGGTTTGGAGAGTCTTCCGGAAAGATGACAAAGTGACTTCCTGGCATTTTATATATTAAAGCTCATTTCCCACTCCTTTCTCCCTGTTCTTGTCCCCTGTCCTGTCCTGCCGGCTCTGTAGCCTTCAGCCTGTCCCCAGCCAACCCATCCTTTCTGTTCTCTGTGCCACCCTCCCACTCTGATACACAGCCCCCCACTTCCCATCATCCCACCTTATCTCTACGCCTGGCTCTTCCTCTTTCCAGTCTTTTCTCTGAGAACCCTGTTCACCTTTGTTTCCTTCACCAGTGGACCCAACATTTCCTAACATTTCAGTCCAGTAGTTTCTTATTCTCTTATCCCCAGCACAAAGCCAGCCACCCTCCACCAGACTGGATGAGTCCGTCTTCCTCCGTGGGAGGGGTTACCCACCATACCTGAGGTTCAGCAGTGCCAAGGCTGTGCCTTCCAAACAGACTGGGTGGCGGGAGGTGGGGAGGCTGACATAGCCAGCATGCCTTTCAGAGCATCACTGTATCCATTTCCTCACTGGCTTGCCCCCCCTATCTGACCATACCTGAAATGTATCTCAGAGATATGAGTGAAACCAGTGCCCTGAAGATTTTACTGCCAACTGTCACGCTAAGGGTCTAGCTTTTACCTGATACCCTGAGGGACCTACAAGTGGCCATGGATCCCGTTCACTGTTTCCTCAGGTGCCAGGGGAGCAGCACCCAGAAACACAGACTGGAGGCCATGAAGTGGAAGAGACTCAAGCCCTGGCTAAGCCTGACGCCTTCACTCCGTACGTACAGCAGTGGAGATGCCGTCTGAAAAGACAGGGTGGAGGTCCAGGCCTGCTGGGGTTTCAATCTGGACTCAGTTTACCACTTGGTTTGGCTGGGAACCACTGTGATGACACAGTAATCTTGTTATAACTGGAGACTTGACTGTGGTCTGGGGCTGGTTAGGAGGGGCAAATAAGTAGCCGTGATTTCTCTGTGGTGCCTGTCACACTGAAAGGTCTCAAGAAATGGAGGCGTCAACTTGTGGATTTGGGTTTGCATGACTAACATTGGCTTATAGAGAGTTGGAAATCTAAAAAAAGTCAGGTCTATCGGAAAAATACCTCAGGATAGCCTAAGTTCTCGTTGGTCAAGAACACAATTTCTATCAAATAACAGTTTTGGCATGGAGAAAGGAGAGGGTAAGATAAAAGCTTACCCCCACTGGCAAGTCAGGAAACTCAGACCCTCACACTACTTCTGCCTTCATAGATTATATCCTGGTGTGCATGGGCAGACACTAGGGTGTGGAAGGGATGCAACTTGAATCTGCCAGGCCATTTCATAACAACTTCATCAAGATAAGAAGCACAGGTGTGAGCTGGGGGTGGTGGCACATGCCTTTAATTAATCCCAGCACTTGGGAGGCAGAGGCAGGTGGATCTTTGTGAGTTCCAGCCCAGCCTGGTCTATAAAGCAAGTTCCAGGACAGACAGAGCTACACAGAGAAACCCTGACACTTCTGCACATTTCAGATCAGAGGCTGCACTTGTCCAAGCTACAGATGCTCAACAAGTTCCACATGCTTGTTTTTTTCATTATAAAACTGGGGACAATGCTCCTCTATTGGCACTATTGGCAAACACAATACCCCAACGAATATTAGATCCAGGGGTTCCAGATCTTTAAGAAGTAATTAATCTGGAGTTCCAGAATAATGCAGCTGTGGCTGGAAGAGACTGCCCCCCATGTAGGATTCTTTGCCCTGGAGGGTCTTATATTCTTTAATATAGGGGAAGGGAAAGTCATACCCAATGGGAAAGTTTGCCCCATGTCAACTCGTAACATTTGTTGAATTTTTGTCTTTTACATTAATTGCATAGTATAGATTCTCTAAAATTCATTGAGGTTTTCTTCTTTTATTCATTTCTTGGTGAGACTTCAACAGACTCATTCTTTCATTAAATATGCATTAAGATTGCATCCTTCCTGTAAGCGGCGTACATCCCCAGGATCTAGTAAGGCAAGCAAGCAGAAGGAATAGCTAGTTCCAGTCTCTTCCACGTTACTAGGGAAAAACAATGTGATCAGGTTTGTCACGGCACTGGCCCTTCACATCAGTCCCTGCCCTAGGTTCATTCTGTCGCTGGATAAAATTCCCTGAGAAAAAGCAGCTGAGCGAGAAGGGTTTTACTTGGTTTTTCAAGTCCGTTACAGTCCATCATTGTGGGGAAGTCAAGATGGGAATCTGAAGCAAGCTAGTCAGTCATATCCATAGTCAGGAGCAGAGGGACCATTCACTGTGGCATGGGACTCTTAACAGCAGTCATGTCCCCAAAGGAGAATTCTCCCTCCCTCCTCCAGCAGCCATCAACAGCAGCTCTTCCACTGATGGTGGGGCAAAGGGGCCCTCCACACACCCAGGGTGAATTTTGACTGCCTTGATCTTGTAAGGCTGTGTGTAGGAACCATAACAGCTATGAGTTAATGTGTGTCGTAACCAAGTCATGCTCAGAAGCTGGCACTTCACAGCTCTCCTCCCCATCCAATGGCTCTCCCGTTCTTTCTGTACTCTCTTTCATGATGCTCCTTGTTCCCTGGAGATAGGGAAATCTATTATAGAGGACCCCAGATGAGCGCTGAGTTACTCATACGTGGCACTTTGACCAGTTATGAGTGTGTCTGCATTAACCATTACCAATTAATTGCAAAGGGAAGTAACCACATACCACCTTTCCTCAAATCTCATTAAGAGCAAGGGCCAAGCAATAGTTCCTGCCCCCAGGTCACTTTACTCGGTGGCCATTGCCTCATTTGCAGTGTTTTCTGGCATGTTCCATGGTTTTGCTTTCAATGTCTCCCTGCTGCTTTTGCAATCTATAATGTACATTCATTCAACTCCTTGGCTGAGAACATGGAAACATCCCACCCTGGGATGTAATACCAGAATCCTAACAAGACTGATGCACCAGCCACCTCTTCAAACCACTTCTCCCTGAGAGTTTCTAACTATGCTCTCTTTTGAAGCTGGCTAGCTCTCTATGTGGAAGGTAGAGATACTCGACTATACACAGCACATTCTCTTTGAACTTCATTACACGTCTGATGTCATGTGATAGCTCCACTGTGGAAACATTCAGTACGCAAAGGAAATTCAGAGGCACAGTTTAAACCAGGTCCAAATCATTGCCATCCCGACTGTCCCGGATCCCTATGAACTCCTGTCTGACCCTGTTTCCTTCTCTCCAGGGAACCCTGCAGTGAGGGGAACCCGGAAGTTCCCAAGTAACTCCAGGACCCCAACATGATGTTACTGTCTACAAAGCTAAAGTCTAACACCCGGGACAAGATGATCATCAGAAGCCGCATGCTTCCGTGTGGCCATCCATGTATAAAATAAAATAAACGTTTCACTTGCAAATAAATTATTAGTAACCGAATCAATTTTAGACTACAGATTTCTAAACAAGTTAAGAGGGAGTGTTATTTATTTATTTTTTTTACTGATAATGGGTCAGTACTGAAGGAAGAAAACATAACCTTTTATTTGTATTGAAAGAATATAGTGTGTCAAATTTTTTGAGGAAAAAACTATGAAAAAAATAAAAGTAGAAATAAGAAGAAACTGCTATTTTCACTGGACATTTCAACTTCCCTTCAGAAGTGGAATGAAGGAGAGGATGAAAACCAGCAAGGACAGAGCTCCACCTGATCGTTGACTTCCTGTGTCAGCAGCAGGTCATACATTCTTCTCCAGGTCATGATAGACCACAGTCAAGGTCAAAGCACATCTTATAAACTGAGAAAATCATGGTCTCAATATCCCTTGCTCATATAATCCCTCCTCTCTCTTGCCGATTGGATTCCTGGAGCTCCACCTGGGGTTTGGCCGTGGATCTCTGCATCTGCTTCCATCAGCCCATGAGAGTTCTATCATGACAGTTAGGGTATTCGGCCATCTGTTCACCAGAGTAGGTCAGCTCAGGCACTCTCTTGACCATTGCCAGTAGCCTATAGTGGAGGTATCTTTGTGGATTTCTGGGGACCTCTCTAGCACTCTGCTTCTTCCTATTCCCATGGGGTCTTCATTTATCATGGTATCTCTTTCCTTGTTCTCCCACTCTGTTCCTGATCCAGCTGGGACCTCCCACTCCCCTAAGTTTGTTCCTCCCCCACTTCAACCCTTGCCCTCCATTACCCCCTCTCATGTCCTCTTTGCTGATGTAGATCTCATTCATTTCTCTGTTGCTGGGTGATCCCTGTCTTTCTTAGGGTCCTCTAATAGATGGGATGACAAACTAGAAGTGTGGGAATCTAGAATAGGAGGAAAGTAGTGGCCTCCACCAAGAAAGGGAGATGGCAACTTTAATCCAGATATTTTGATTCCTCCTGAAGGAGTGTGGAGACAATGTGGCAATGGTTGGAGTGATTGCTGCAAGTTTTTTTTTTTTGGTTCCTAGACTGAAAAGAGCTGCCAGAAAAGGTGAGCTTCCTTTCATAGAAGCTCTGAAAATTGGATCAGGTCTTCCTTGGAATTGTGGGGATAAGAAGGACAAAAGTCGCTGACTTGCAGGGACAGATTTCTTGTCTTACGTCATGGTGACCCACCAGTCATGGGGCTTGGTGTTTGCAGAGGGCTGAGGAGGAACTGAGGCGGCTGCAGGGGTCTTGAGGTCAGAGCAGGCTGTGTGAGAAGGAAATGACTGTCTGGTACATTGACCATTGTTCTTATTTTCACCCTTTTTGTGAAATTGCATGTTGCTAGCCTCTGGGTCAAGTGCTCAGAAGATTGTATAATCATTAATAATAAAAATAGATTATGCTTGCTTTGGTGTTAAGTCTGGGATAGTTCCTGTGTTTAGTTAAAGATGATGAAGAATATATTGGTGATTTTCTAAGAATAACCTTTGGAATCATGAGAATATTTCATATTGGGTGATTTTCCCTTTTCTTTTGTTTCCCCTTTACTTATGATAATGAAAGACTGAGGTCACCAGGGCAAAAGCAGAAGCTAAAGAAGCTGTAGGGAAAAAGCTACTTAGCAACTGCAGAAGCCCGAAGTGACCTGTCAGCTTGCAAGGGAAAAAAAAAATGAGAAAAAGAGAAATCAAAGTTTCATCTCTCAAACCCTAGGAGGTAAATCTAGAAACTGGCACCAAGACATTAATACAAATTTTCTAGGTACAGAGATGAAATCATATACTTTTATATAAAGTAATAGTGAATAAAGAATTCTTAGAAATTGTAAAATATTTTTAAATAAAGGGGTTTTAAAACGAAGTTTGTGTGACTCTGTGTGAAGCATAATAATTGCATAGAGGAAAATTAACATATAACATTGACAAAAGGAAAATAATTATGCTATTATATTAAAATGCTACAAAATGAATTAAATTGAAAGTAAACACAAGGAAAAAAATGAGATAGAAAAATATACTCAGGCTGATTAGGTGAAAAGATCAATCACATCAAGTTTCTAGCTAATTTAAGAAAAAAAGAGAAAAACATGGATATTAAAAGTAAAAAACTTGCGTAACTCTGAACTAATATACATTAAATATAAAAACAAGCTAATCCTGAAAAGACACAATTAGGAAAAAAAGTTATACATGCACTGCATCAATGTGCATATCTCAAATCAATTATTGGGGTTCAGGATGTAACCCAGTGCCACAGCACTTGCCCAACATGTGACTGCACAGGTGTGCCCAGAGAGTAACCTAATCTAGATGTTCCCTCACAGGCTTGAGTAGAGTTTAACCTAATCTAGATAGTGCTGCATACATTCTTCTGGAGGCTTCGTATCATTCGGGATTCTAGATCCTGTCAACTCAGCAATACAAACTATCGCTGGTAACTTCCAACCAACATATAAGAAATGAAGGGAACTTTTCATGGGCCAATGAGCAAATAACACATGGACTAGGCAAACTCTCTGAGACCAAAGAAGCTACATGAAATTTCTGATATTTGAGGAAGAATTAGCAGTGGAAAAAATCAAAACAGAATAGCAAAGAACAGTCAGGAAACTAGAAAACACCTATTGTATGTGTAGCAGAATGCCAGAAAATGGAGGAATGAGCATAATACTTGAGGCAATTGTAGTGGGTAGCTGTTCCAGCTTTGACCTAGAAGTACTACCCCTAGTGTGGCTTCTGGTAACTGCCACACCTACCTATGACCTGCCCAGGGGCAGGGCTGAGATCGGAGCCCTTAAGACCCGATATCCGGATGTGCTGGCCCTCTTGATTCCTGGTGGTCCTGGATGCTGGATGGTAGGACGAGAAGAGTTCTCCAGAGAACCCTGCTGCACTGCACTTCACCTCTCCTGGATCCTATAACAAACCCCTTTACTGGCGGCAAGTTACCCCCAAATAAACCTCCTTAACTATGTGAAGTTGCCTTGTTAATCCCCACAATAGGCAATAGTGGATAAGTGCTGTGGATATTGCTCTATATAAATAAAACACTGATGGCCAGTGACCAGGCAGGAAGTAGGTTGCCAGGCAGGAAGTAGGTGGGACAAGGAGAGAGGAGAATTCTGGGAAGTGGAAGGCTGAGGAGGG